TTTCGCATCCACCACTGCATCACAAAATTGAGTGCAGTCCGACTTGAAGTGTCCCTCCAAATTACAGAAGAAGCACCTCGGTCCATACTTCATAATGAGCCCTCTAACTTGCTCTTCGTGAACCTCGTCGGTCGCATCAACGTCGTCGAGAAAGTGGCCTATCGCCTTCATGTTCTGTTTGTAAGCAGATATTGCGGAAACATGGTGGTCCATCGAGCCACAATTCGCACAGGACCTCCTCTTATCCATGTCGTCGCGAGGTTTGTACCAAGTGGAGTTGGCGCCAGTGTTGGTTCCGCTGTAGTTGCCATAATTGCTGTAACGGTTTTGCGCCCTCGGTTTTATGAGCAAGTGCTCACACGACTTCATACGCAAATCATCGGGCGTGGGCACCTGGTCAAGCGACAGGGTGAAGTGTGTGGCTAGCATTGTTTTTTACTCTTCGCTCCATCCATGAACTTCGAGGCAATCGCTAAGTTCCGCTCGAATATTCTCTCATCGGGGTTGCTTCTCCTCCTAAGTAATTCAAGGTCGTCCAAAAACTTGTCTATGGATTCGTCATCTTTTTGACGCCTCTTCTCGAACTTCACCATAGCCTGATACCCTTGTACTCCAGAGCCGAAACGATTCAGCAGGAAGTCAAATATCTTGCGAGCACTGTCTGGCTCATTGGCCTTTTTCGCTATTACACAATTCAGGGCGGTATCCTCCGGGTTGCTTGTCAGTGCGCTGCATTCCTGTTTCTTTGAGAGATTCTCTTCTTCAAAGTGCAACTTCATCACCTCTATCCGAGTACCAATGCAGCCATCTGACTCGTCTTTTATGATTTCGACTTTTTCAGTGTCCTTCTTGACCTCTCTCCTCTCTCGGTTGACTTCGAGAGCTTGGTGATGAATGTCTCGAGAGATCTATTCAGAGGCTCAAACATCGAAGCATACATCGTCGTGTCCTCTGAGATCGTATTCAGATCTGGGACCGACCTGACTTGTGGCACAGTGGGCAATCCTCTCTCCGGGGTGGCATCCGTCTGCGGCGGGACCGGGTTCGTCCAACCTGGCCTCGATGGGGCTGCCCTGGGCCGCTCCCTATTCCTAGATTCGTAATTCGCTCTCGAATTTTGCTGGGCCCCGGCATGGTTGCCTGCTCCATCTTCATCATTCGCCTGGCGTGAGCGCTCCCTTGGGTTGGATCGCTCCTCCCGATTAATTCCGTGTAAGATCTCGTCAAGCTTCCGCATTATCAGGTCAGATTTGGAATCTAACCTTTTTTCCAGGCTAGTCATCGTATGAGCATAGGTATTGTCATGACCGTTCAACAATTGCTCGATCTCTCTTGTCATCCTAGCCTCTCTTTCCTCTGACTCCTTGTTTGCCTGTGCCAAGCTCTCCGCCAGACATTGATCGGTGTTACGAATCAATTGAGCCTGATCGACTCTCGCCTGCGACTTCACGTGTGTAAGTTCATCTCGCAAATTCTCTCGATCCTGGTGAGCTCTCTCGTCGACTTGATCTTTTCTTTTAGTCATGTCCCGACGCAGTTCTTCCAGGCCTGTCATCACGCCGGCAAACATATCACTTATATCGCCAGCCGCCCCCAATGTCGGGGTTAGCCCCAGAGAAGATGAGGTCAACTGCGGTTGCAGCCTGGTACTTCATGATGCGCCGCCCTTTTGCTTGCCCATCGACATCATCGACTTGTCGAACGTTGAGGACGCTCCCGTCGTCATCCCATCAGACATGGGCCTAATCGGCGAGGCGGACAACGCCTTTCTGCTCATGTCGTTCCTTGGGCACGGCGTGAAGTTCACATCCGGGTGGGTTATCTCCGGATGGTCATAACTGGAAGCCAGACCTTCAGTTTGTAGTGACGCCATGCGCTCATCGTACAAAGACTTCCAGCTTTTTTTGGCCTTCGAACCCGTTTGTTCTTCACTCGGGCTTATACTCGACATCATCGCGTTCTTGCTCTGCTTGGCCAGAGATGAGTGGGTAGTGGCCGGATGTAAAAGTTCTTTTCTCCACTTATGACTCTTGGTCTCCGATTTGGACATTCCCCTGAACAACACTTCCTCTCGCGGGTCGATCTCGGAACGCTCCGAGGCCTCCTCTGTCCTCCCGACTTCCTCCTGTTCGAGGTCCTCGCTCGGCTCAAAGTCGGGACGGAAAAGCGTTCGTTCCCCTTCGTCAAAGGGGTCCACAAGCGCCTCGCTCGCCGGTCCGGCCTCGGCGCTTTGCCCTTGATTGCCATCGAGGTTTTTATCGCTTCTTAGTTTCATTCCGCTCACTGAAAGATCAGCTTGAACTTTAGTTGATTCGTTGTCAGCAAAAACGTTGGAAAAGCTGCTAAACGAAGATTGGCTACGCCTAGTTCTAAATTTTTGCGTGCTTCCCTTGCTCAACCTAGGAATCTTAGTAGTCAATCCTAGCGAGTCTCTACGCTGCATATTTTGTAATAAATAGTAATATTCGTACAATTTAATGGCGATGTACACGTACCGCGACTTAGTTCAAGTTAATTTACTTAACGCTGTCTACTCAATTTCTTCAGTATCAAAATGTCTCTTAGATTTCTCAATGATAATATTAGTGACTCAGCTAAAGTTACACACAGGGCCTGCTCAGTATTGATATAATGCTAACTCAACCCCGTTGTATAGTATAACAGTATCACAAAATTTTCACAAGATATAGTCAATACACAAAACACAATTGATAATCAGATAAGAATATCCTACAGTTGACAGCGACCTTTCGTCAGTATCAATTTACCGCCACAATCTTATCAAATCACTGCTTTGTCAAAATCAAACAATTTTTCGTAAAAAAGGCAGTGATGATTCAGGAATAGATCAATAAAACTTAGTCTTAAAGAAAAAGACTTCCCTCAATCGGAACACTCCAAAAGAACGAAGCCCAGGACACTGTCTTCTCAAGTGAGTGTGTATTTGCCTAATACACTCACCGAGGTCTTCTTCTAGGTGTCCTGCGATTGCCCGAGCTGTCCTACTATGTAGCTCAAGGCAACCTCTGATCGAAAATTTTCTAAAGTCTATGAAAAAGCTCCCCCACACCCGGGACGCCCCAAGTGTACGAGAGCAGGGAACAACTTTTCTTCTCAAGTGAGTATCTGCCTAATACACTCACCGAGGTCTTCTTTAATGTGTTCCCGGATTGCCCGAGCTTTCCTATTAAGTAGTTCAAGGCAACCACACAACCAAAATCACAATCAAAAACAAAATTTTGGTTCGGGTACTTCTGACAGACCCGATCTAGAATCCAAAGTTGATCACGAATCTCCGGGTCAAATGGGCCCCTGTGATCTTAATATTCACGCCCGCTGATAGTTGACCTTTTATTCCGATTCTAAATGGATATTCTAGTTGCTCAAATTGCCCCAGAAGGTCCCCTAAATTTTCAATAAGGAGGGTTGTTAAGAGGCTTAAGTCACTCCGGAGGGTTACTCCGGAGGGTTGTTAAGACACTTAGCTTGCCTCGGATGGTTACTTCGGAGGGTACCTTAATCACCCAAGTTACTTCGGAGGTTCCGCCTAAACTCAATGAGGAGGGTTATTAAGAGGCTTAATACGTTCCGGAGGGTTACTTCGGAGGGTTCCTTCACAATTTCAAATTTTTTGAATATCACTTGTAAGGGTCTCCTCCTAGTCTCAGAAGGTGTCAAAACAAGCTAAATACTCTGTGGAGGTTTGTTTTAACTTCTTCGGATGGCTCGTGGAAAATTTACACTAAGGAGGGTTGCTAAGGAGCTTAGCTGACTTCGGAGGGTTTCCCAAAAATCAGGAAAAAGGGTTATTCTACCGCGGTAAAGCCTCAGAATGCTGTGCAAATGACTCAACACCAGATTGGTTGACACGGTCAATTTTCCGAATAGGATAAAAGGTGATCTTATAAAATTTTCTGCCGCTCGGAGGTTTCCCTAAAATTTGATCCCTCCGAACCAACAAATTCTAAAAAAAATTCTTTTACGAGATTATCGACCCGAAAAAAGGTTGCGGTACGGGAAAATGGTCAAAAATATCGACTTATGGTACCAAAATGATCCCAATCGATTAGCTAGTCTTTGAGAAATTGCCAAAAACGCGTTCGTCAAAATGGCCTTATAGGTTCTGAAAAACTTTTTCCGCAATTCCTATTGAAAGTGCCTAAAAAAATGAAACGAGCGTAGTAGCCCCGTACGGCACTGGAACAATGCAAATAACCGGACCAAAATTAGTTTGGAAACAGAAATTTGGCCAATGAACAATATTGGAGTAAATTAAACACGTTCAGGGCATTACAGCAGTTAAAATATGCAGTTAATGTCTCTAACAGTCTCTGGGCACCGGGCCTCTCATTCCGTATTCTCACGGAGATAACGTCGTTATCCCACTGATTTCGTGCACGGGAGGTTTCGGATCAGTCCCGAATGTCCCACTGGACCTTCCGTCTATATGATCTTTCGATAAGCACCTTATCTTGTCTGAAATTCACGTATCTTGTTCTTCTGTGTTTTACTCTATATTTCGACTGATTATCGTCTTGAAATTCGGTTGTTGTGTTTTTCAGTCTTTTCTCGGTCAAAAATGGCCGTTACTCGTTTTTCTCAGAAATGTTCTAGTTCAAATCAAAATTTTGAAAATATAATAATCTAGAACATTCTGAGCCTCCTTTTCATCACAATTTCGGTGCGAACGATTTTAATGTTCTTTTTGACGTGCATCTGCAGGTTCGACTGTGCCAATCTGGGGTATTGGCACAGTTAATGCGCTAAATGTGCTAAAACGTCTGAATTAACATTTAAAAAAGTTCTTATGGATATGCACTGACTGAAACTGAGGTGCTCAATTGTAAATAACTTTTCTAATAATTTGATAAGTTTATCACGACAATGCTTTTAACTTCATTCCACAAAAAGAACAAGTTATCTTTTTGCTGTCAATGTACCCAAATATGAAAGTAAGACTTTTAGTTTGAGAGCTAGTGAGCCTTTTTCCTCGTTTCAAGAATTCAGAATGGCAAAGAAAGGCAAGAAGAAAAGTGGCGGGAAAAAAAGCAAGCTTGACAAGATGTCAGAAGAGGAGAGAGTCTTGTACATGGAGCATAAGCTGCTGCAGGAAGAGGAAGAGCGGAAAAGTAAAGAAAAACTTGCAATGCAGTACTTAAAGGCAAATATCTTTTTACTACTTCATGTCTTATTGTAACCCGTAAGTGTTCCGACCATTACACTCATGAAGAATAATTATGTGTTATGTAAAAATATGTATATTTATGTGTAATGTGAAAATATTTAAGTTAAAAGTGAACTGTGAAGTTGAATTGCACTTGCTTCCTGGAAGTTTTTTCAATTTCCTAAAAAAGTGTTATTTTATGAAGTGTTTTTGCTCTTAATCGGGTACCGCTAAAAAGACAGCCTTTGAGTGTTGCCATTTCAAAGCGCTTGGCATTGTGATTCCAGTACCAACTAAATGCAATAAAGTTAACCATTGTCGAAAAAGACAGTGTGGATTTCTTTTCAGTACCTGAAGTATGACAAAAAATTGGGGCGAAAATGTAAAATTTTTGAAAAAATGGGAATTTAAAAAAAAAGTTATTTTTTCATTGATTTACTTTAGCTTAATTATATTGCTGTGGGCGGAACATTTTTTGCTTCATGCAGGGCAACGTTTTCAATTTTTCAAGTATGTGAGGTTGTGTTTAGTTTAAGCTGACTAAAGAAGAAAAGAACACTCAATTTAACCTTCATAAATTGAACACTCAATGGCGTGAAATTATGAGACAATCGAAAAGTATTGAGCTGAAAAGGGACATTGAAATTCTCAGTCAGACGTTCGAACGCGTTGTTGACCGCAAGAAGGCTGTCTTGGAGAGTCTGGGTCAAGACTTATCTGAGGCTGAAGAGCAATATAGCATGGCGTTGAGAAGTCACCTTCAGCACGTTGACAGATTGATTGGTAAGAAAGGAAATAAAGCAAATGCTTAGGGATTGCCACATTGAAAGAACAATTTAGCAACAAATTCTGAAACGAGTCAGTCAGTTTTTTTATTAGGTTCCCTGCAGTTTTAGAATCTCTATCACTTAGTACCAATATTTATTAAATGATTGCTCATTGTTAAATAACTTGTTGCAGATCTCCAGAATTCGAGAATATCGACACTTCAGAATGAGTTTGACGAAGAGTCACAGATTCTGAAGAGAGAATACGACACAGAAAGGTAACCGTTTAGTTTTATTACGCTTGCGATTCGCGAGCGTTATCAAATCGGAAAATAGACTTTTTTGGTTGACAACTAGTTTAACAAAATCAGTTGGCATGTCTGTTCTGATAGAATGCCCGACAAAATATATTTTTGAACATGTCTGTATTTTAAGCGCTCGTTCCATTTGAGTTTTCATTGTTGAGTTTAAATCAACTCTTTTTCTTGTCCTTTTGCCTTTTATTTTTGGTTTTTTCCCTTTAATGTTTTTCGGCTTAAATGCTTCTGGCTGATGCATATTTGTTTAGTTGCTCGATTATTCGTCGTTTGAATCAACAAAATTTTTGAATTCCGTTGTGCTTGCGGAAGTGTAGGTGGTGGGTTAGGGGCGAAAATCCTTGTTTTTGGCTCTAAATTTCAAAAAAATCAATTAAGACAGTCAGAAAACAAAAGTAGCAAGGTACAAATTTACAAGCGAAAAAGTTGATAGGAGAGGAAAATTTAAATTAAGTGTATGTTGGAAAGAGGAAGAAGCCCCGTAGATGAAAAGAGATCAATCAGTTTCTTGGAGAGATTCAAGTACGCAGCTAGCATTTCCGCGTTGTACGCAGATAGCGAGTCTTTGCCACAGGAAGACGGTTTCCCTTCGATCGTCAGTGACAGAAGAAATGCGTCTACCGACGTCCTTGAAGAAAGTCGTGGAAACTTTCCCTATTCCACCCAAGGTTTCGATAACAACGGGCTGGAAGGTGAACTCTCGGGTCAGCTCCTCATATATTTTCATCTTTTTGGATTCCGCTTGGTTGGCAACAGTTGGCCCTTGGTTAGCACTGATGGCTTTGTAGGAATCTGCTAGTCGATGCGTACATGTAAAATCCCAGGTGAGGGCTTTGCTTCTGCTCCACGGCAGCAGGGTTTTACCATCGGGGCGCTTTCCGTCGGATCTCAAAAGGCCGGTAAGTTCGAGTGTTGAGGGCATTTCGGCGTGTTTTAAGATGTTATTGGCCTGTCTGTGTCGCATGTGGCGACTTTTTATCTTTGAGCAGACAAGTGCGTGTGCACCAAGGCGGTCGACTTCTGAGCCCCAAGGCAATCTCAAAGTGTCTACTTTCAAATCGGAGAGAGTGAGCAGCTGAAGGCACGGCGTTGAGCCAATTGCACGAGCCAAATGAAGATGTCACACTAATCCGTGCCTTGATGAAGTCATTAGCGAGAAGACAAGCATGCATTTTTTCGTAGACTGGGGTGAGCATTAGTTTCTGTTTTCTTGAAAAATCGTTTTGTTCGATAGGAAGGCCAGTTTGGAGCTTCCAGGCTTCCATGGCTTGGTCGAATTGTTCGGAAATTGGACTTTTATTCAGGAGCTTTGAAGCAGTTTCTTAGGATATGATTGGTGATGATATAAAAGCGGCTGGGGCAATAATCGATGATAAGGGAACCCCAAGGCCGCCCATCGGGAAGGGATACTTGAGTGGCTCTCGTTTCATCGATTGTGACGTTACAAATGCATTCTAGGGCTTGGATAATCAGACCATAAAGTTCGTTGATAGGGGAGGCGTAGAAAGATGTTCTGAGATAAAACAGGAGTTTTGGGGTAGCGTTGCAGTTTTTCTTAAGAAAGACGGCGTCGTGGCTGTTCAGATACTTGGAATGGTCACAGACGCGTTTTAGTTCTGCTCGTTTCTGCTAAAATATGCGTTTGGCTGCATCATTACCAAGAGGGGAACCCAGAAGTTCAAGATCATCAAGACGAGTTGTCGCTATACGAGAGCAGACAGCTCGGAACTCCTTTAGAATGATTTCTTGGCTTTGCTGGTCTTCTGTGAAGAGAATGAGTTCGCATTTCTTATCTTTCAGCTGTAAGCCCATTTCTTCACATTTGTGCTTTCAGGTCATCAAGTATATTTACCCAGCTGTCTAGTGCTGAGATGTCGTCTCTGTAACCTGCCTTAAAGCGGCCTTTCATCTGGCTCAGCGGCCCGTGTATGCATAGACAGAAGAGAAAAACTGCGAGAGTGTCGCCTTGTTGAAACCTTCAGCGCTGTCAATGATGGTTTCTCCGTAGTTGAGGAGTTGTTGTTTCATAGCAAGTTTTGAAAAATGGTAGCAATTCGGGGCATTTCTCGGCAATACATTTGGCGGCATAGTCGCGTCTGATTGAATTGAAATCATTAGCGAAATCCTTCTTTAGGGACACATCATCGTTAGTTGGGTTCTCCAATAGAGCGCGTACCGCGTGGACTGCTGCTTCTGCGCCGCTTTCCACGGCGAAGCCCAGGTTGAGAGGCGAGATACTGTCTTTGAAGGCTTGAGTGAGTTTCGTTGAGGTTGTTTTCCCGACGAGGCGGCGGGTAGTTTCGCCCACTGCAATTGGTCGGATTCCGCCGTCTTTCTTAACAAAAGCTGAAAGGTTTGCTCCTGCGAGAAGGGGGATTATTTCGGTGGGCGTTTCTCCGCGGAGAATGTCATTGCAGACATCTGTCAGGGCAGTGATTAGCTTGTTTGATTGGTCTCCAAGAACTTTTCCTATGCAGTCTTTCAAGTGCTGCGGGCGCAGGCCAGATAGGCCACCTGCCGATCCGTTAGGAAAACTCAAAACTGCAGTTTTCACTTCGCTGGTAAGTCTGAGAGGGTGGGTGTCCTGGGGAGAGATGGGAAAGGCTCTCCTATCACTGGGGCAGACTGGGTGTTTTTCTTTCAATTTTTCTATTGTGGTCTTTTTCATGCGGGGCTAGGCTTTCGTCAGTCGCAAGGGAGCGTACTGCGCCTTTATGTTTCCCTCATCGAGTTTACTCGACACAAGTGCTGCAAGCTTTTCCAGATCGGTTTTCTGTTTTGCCGGCGACTTTCTTGTGCGTGTCAGGCTGGATAAATTCGGTGACTTTGTTCGCTTTTCTGAAGGTTTCAATTTTCCGCTTTACAGCGGTTGCCAGCGAGACTATTGCGGTCTTTCTTGTCAGCGATGTTCAGACAATCTCTAGGGGCTGCGAAAAACTTCAGCCAAGCTGTGATATCGGAGCAGTTTCTGTGTATGTTGAACAAGAGATCAGTGAGCAGAAGGGAATATTGTTGGCGGGCGCCTCTGGGGCTAAACTTCTGGGTCTTCTTGGAGCCGAAAATAATCCATGAGTGTTTTGGCATCTGCGTTATCGGCAGCGTCCTTGGACCTCTGGTCTCCTGTATCATTTAATGATAGATCATCTATCATTTGCGTGAGACCAGAACTTTCGTCGTCTTTGTAGTGTCAAGGTTGCAGGGTGCCATGCCACTTCTTGCTTATGCCAGTTCTAGTACGCCATATTGCAGTCCAGTCAGTGATAGAAACGTGCTTGACGTTGACCCATGATGTGGTGCCGTCTTGCCATTTCACAACAACTTGTTTGCCATTCGTGTCAGTTTTGGTACAGGCGTCTTCTGGAATGGACGTGCCCCTGGATGATCGGGTTGACATCGCTCGTCTACTGGATGTCACAGGGCTGGGGAGTGGGAGCTTGGACGGACGTCGCGTGGCTCTGATAATGCGTCCTCGGCGGCGTGCTGTGTCACTGCTGGTCGATATCTGGTCGTCAGATCAAACAGAAGGAGGCTTGGCTCTAAATGTTTTATAGCTCAATTTTGATATTTTTTGGCTCTACAGTCGTCTACCTAGCTGTTTTGTCTGTTCAGTATCCGCTGAATGAATTTTAATGTCTACGATCGCGATAAAAAGCGCGATTGAAATTGGGTGCTCGTATTGTTTCCCGTAAAAAATGTGGTTACCCTCAATTTCTTGGGTAATAAGGTAAAGCCTGTTTTCAAAAAGTTACTCAATTTGTTTCGGGTTCGAGGCTTTCGTCCCAGTTTGTGTCGGTTCACTTACCGTGTTTTTAAAGGCCATTTTGTTCCAGGCTCGTGTGTTTTGTTATAATTTAAACAGTAGTTTTTTTGCTACAATGAAAGTTCAGTAATTTGTAAATTTACCAAGTGTTTCTGGGTTTTTGTTTCATTTTTAAATGTTTGAACAGTTTCAGTTTATGGTGTATCGGTTCAGTCAAACTACATTGCATAATTTCGAGGGCAAATATTTGTGCATGCGATTATGTGTTTCCGGTTCGATAGATCGTAAAATTTTTTAAAACTTTATAAAGTTTTTTATGTCAACGTTTTTGTTTCCGCTCAAACAGGTTTTAGACCCAAAATTTGTCGCTCGGTTATTGATTGCCAATTCTTTTCAAGTCTGTTTATGAACTTCCCTCTACACAACACTTTTTTTAGCTGTTATTTTTTAAAAAAATTTTTAAGTTATTTTTTTGAAATAACTTTTCCAAGATTTTTTTTCAAGTATTTTTTTTTGTCTCAGATTTTTTTGCATAGCAAGTGTTAAGCTACACTTCGCAACTGTGTCAATTTTTATTCAACTCTGACAATTGTGTTGTTCAGTATCTTTCCTCAAATTCAACCGCCCTTCAGCAAATGTGAAAAAAAATACATGTATTTTTTTTTTCTAATCTGTGGCTTTTGTCCTATTTTATTTTTTTTCCAGTTAAAATTGAATTTTCATAAAAGAATCATATTTTTTTTGTATCAACGATTGTCTGCTCTTGCTAACTTATGTTCCGTTTTTGAGTGAATTTTGTCAGCATAACAACATCTGCGGAGACAACACAACATCTGTTCTAAGCACAAATTGAATCGGAAATGAATCGATTCTGGTGTACTATAAGCTTTTTGCTTTACTACCCAGTAGGAATTTCGATCGTGCCTACCCGAAGTTGAATTTTTTGGCATAGATAGTGATATACGCTGTGTAATGAAATTTCGGTAATGTCATGCCCGATTGTGTCCAGTGATAGTATCTCTTCTTGCTTCTTTATAGTCGAGATTGAAACAAAAATATTGAAAGGTATCAATGATGTCGTTGTTTTTTTAAGTTAACCAGCCAGTGGCCTAAACCGAAGGTTAATTATTTAATTTAAAGTAAGTTATGGTTATCTTGCAAGGGCTCCCCTTGTAAATTGCATGGCACGTGCGATTTGAACCCGCACCATCACTACCGATTCGCCATAACGCCAATTTTTCTTATTCGTGAGTGTTGATTGATCTCTTTCCACAATTTCGCAGATCAATGAGTGTCTTTTTTCATCAAGACGAATAATGATTATGATCGATAGTCAGGATTTTTTGAATTGTTTTCTCCGCAACTCAATGGAAATGTTTTTTGAGTGTATAAGAACAAAGTGATTTTAATTTACTTAGGTCGTGAAGAATTCTTTTTCGTGAAAGTCTTAAAGTTTTGTTTAAATTTGATTTTTTAAACAGTTTGAATTAATATTCATTTTTTGATTGGAAGACACTTTACGCTCTCCATTACAAAAGACTAAAAACGTGATTTAGGTTTAGCTTTAAAAATTGACTTCAATTTGAAAATTCACAAAAGATAAGTATTGACAGTTTTTTTTAGTTTTGTTACTTTTTCGAAAAAGTGTCACTTTGTTGCTGTTTCGAAGTTTGGTTCCCGCAATCCGCAGATGAGAATCGATCAAGTTGGCAATTATTTTATTGATCTAGTTTTTCGGAACTTATGGCAAAAAAAACTTCTAAATAATTGATTTTTGGGAAAACTTTTTGGCTCATTTCTTTCATTTTTTCCTCAAGGTAATTTGAAATATCCGAGTAATTTGTTTATGAACATTTTCTTTCACATTTTGCATTCTTTTTTTCCTAATTTTTTAAAAGACGTTTATGTTAACAAAAACTTATTTGCATGTTATTGGAAGGAAGTCGACCTTTACGAGTGATGTAATTTTTTCTCGGATTCAATAGCAATTTTTTAACTTTCTTTTTGCTACGTGCGAGTATTGCTACGTGCTATGTAATTTTTTGGCGATGTATTCTTGGGTAGAAAGACAAGTTTTAACTTTCTTTTGCTATGTGTATATATATTTCATGAAATTATTCGCCGGAACTAATCTAAATAGTTTTCTTGAAGTGATTGATTTATACGTTGCTCAAAAAGAACCATAAGTAAGCGAGCGTAGTGTTATATTACGAATCTGCATTTTTCCTCGCCATATTGTAAATAAAAGTGCCCATTTTTGATGCACAGCATTGGCGATTTAATGGAATCTGTTTTCTGCTTTTTGGTGGCTACTATTTGACTATTGTCCAGCGACAAACGACATGAGAATTCTAAACTTGAGATCGGTAACTTGATTCCCAACTATAGCAAAAAGCTTAAACTTATCAATCTTATTTTAACCTTTTCAATGCTTTACTGGTGGCTTGTGTTGGTCTATTATTGAGCCACCGTGGCTTAGATGCGAGAACCTGAGTCTCCTAATCTGCCTCGCAAAATATTATTTTTCAAGGCCCTTGTAAGCATTTTTTTAAATTTCATTTTAAAACCTTTTTTGAGCTATTTTAACTGGTTTTTGGTTTGTGCATCTTCGCCTCTGTGTTTAATTCTTGAAATGTGTTCATATCAGAGAGTTTAGATCTGATACTTTTGTTTTGCAACCATTAGGTTAAACATAGTCGCATCTAAATGTTGAGGTATATATGCAAACAGCAGGCTTTTGGTGTTTAGGGACAAGATAATGGAGCAGTCGCAGAAAGAGTTGGATGACCTGCAGGATATCGTGTTCTCTTTAGACAAGAGCTTCCAGGAGAAAGAGGCGGAAGCACTGAGCGAGTTCCAGAGCATTCGAGACGAAATCAAGACCAAGGTCACACTCCGCTGTTATCTACATTTAGCGAATTTGTGGAAATCTTTTTGATAGGACTCGCACCCGAGTAGAATAGGATGGGTATCCATATTTTCAGGCTGAAGTTTTGACCTATTTTGCTCAAGTCTAAATGAAAATTTTGTTATAATGTTCTTCTTACAATACACTTGTCATTTTTTAACTGACGTCTATCACTTGGTTGATTTATTTGGAGAGGAGCTCTTTTGATGACAGGATGTTAGGATATTTGATTCGGGCCCGAGCTCACTTGTACCTCCACCCACCTGTTGGTTTCGGTTTTATCATGTCCCTGATATCTGCATACATGTATCTCTTGCTAATATGAGAAATCCAAGTTCAAAATAACGCTCATTATTAAGACTATGTTCAAGAACTTAATTGTGTATAAACTTCGTGTTTTTGCTTGATCTTGGTGCAGTTAAGGCTGCAGATTGATTCTTTCGGACGCTTTTTAGGCGCACCTGTGAGGCTGCTTTATAAATTACCGTCCCTAAGTACACAAATTTGAGGTCTAAATGAATCCGACCTGGTTTGTTTTGGCATTCTGTCCAAAACAGGCCACCGAAAGAATTTAACTGGAAATAAACAATACTACAATTGCCGTTCCAAGCCATCTGCCCAATGCCAAATTGATTTTATTGGGACTGCTTCAAAATGTCTGCCCTTCGGTTAAGATGTTTTTGTTCAAAGGCTAAATTGCCTTGTGCTTACCACTTGAATCTGTTTGTGTTAGGGCCCGCGAACATAATATAGAGGAGCTAATTTGGCTTCTAAGCTTTAATGTGAACCCTGAAATTGAAGTTGATTTATACCCGAAAGGCAAGGCACACTTGCGGTATTTCAGGTTGTTTTTCCTACGATTATCCGACCAACCAAATAACTATCTCAGATCATTCGCTTTTGAACCAATTCCCACTGCATATTAGCAAGTATAAGCAACACAGCGAAGTATCGATTACTGTAAGGATTGGCATGAAATCTGAGAAAATTGTGTGGAGCTTGATTGAGTGGAATATCTTTGGCGACCCTTTTTGAAAAAGGGTCTTTTGCGTTATCCGGCCCTAAACTACCAAACTATTGTATGAGCTTCTGTTGTTATTGAAAATCTAGATTTCAATTTGCAGAAAATAATTTTAACCAATGAAAATCGAGCATTATGATTTAATTTTGAGATCATCAAAAAAAATCAAATGTGGACCGTATAACAGAAAAGTTCCTGAAAAAAAAATACCATGAAAAATCGAATTTATTTACCCAAATTTCAAAAACTACCATATGCTAAAAAAAAAACGCGGTGCGAATTTCGGCTCAAGTAAAAGATTTGACGTCCTCCCATTGTTGTACATACCAACACAATTTTGTCCTTAAAAATGTTTGTACTGCGTTGCCCTTGTTTTTATTTTACTGGCCCTACTTTGGTTGCACATGTTAATTATGGAAGATGAATGGATGATGTTGAAAAATAGGGAATTTTTGAATAATTTGGGGATCTCATTAAGTAGTCTCCTTCCCCTTCGCAATTTGTTGGTTAAGCGAGCATGTCAAAACGGAGGTCTGGTATTGGCCAGTGTGGTCTGCTGACTGTATTATTTGAGTTGAGCATAAATGTACGCATAATTCAGCTAGGTCTTTCATTTATTGCTGAACAAACCAGAGCAACTTTTGTGGCTCGCCTCTGTCGTCTACTGTTGTGGAGCCAAAGGCAAAGCGAGGAAGGGAATCAATCCAAGCAGCGTCAACAGTGAATCTTTCTTGCGATGTACCAGTTGTGACTCCATTTAATACTTTGCTCTATGCTATTATTGTTATTAATTCTCTTTTTTGCTTTGTTCTTGCGTTGCTCGCGATTTTCCATTTAACTTTTGGTTCCTCATTATTTAGAAAAGTTTTGGAAAAAAGAAGACATTGTTTGTTATTTTTTAATAGAGGAAGCCAATCAGATTATGTTAAAGCTAGGAACAACAACAACAGTGGCTTTGGTTAGGTGTTATTTATATTAGCTTTGATGCACTTATTTAATGCCTACGGCGACACTGAAGCTGACCGGCGAACAGTTATTGTTGCTTCATCTGTCTTCCTCCTTATCACTCACCCCGCTCCCCCTGGCCCACACACCGACTACTCTTTCCTAGCCGCCGCTCATTTCTAATAGCTCCACTCCCCTACCCCTCACCCTAACTTTATTGCGTCAATTTCGCCACACAATTTGATAAATTTTCTTGTCCTAACAAAATACAAAATATCGGCCTCATCCAGCTAGTGACAAATACCCAACAACTGACCACATTATCTAGAATCTGAGACACTTGAAACAAAGGTAAATGCTATCTTATCTAGACGACGCCGGAAAACTTATTGGAGCTACGAGTTCGTTACTATCTTCATTGTCGTTATTTTGCGTTTCTTGAGTATGATTCCAAATAAGATTCACTTTTATTGAAAAAGAGATTACTGAACAATCAACTTGAATGGTAAAAACAAAGCTCCAAACTTGGACGTAATATAAAAAGCACAGCTTATTGCTAGATTGAATGATTTTTCCCTCACTAAAATTAGACAATAGAACTTGGAAGAAGTGCTTGATTGATGTGGATGGTGAGTGAGCGAGGCGTTTGCCTCTTTTTCGGTTTGTATTGAATTGAAGTCTATTTGTAGGGCGACAAATAAAGGGACTTCTTAGCAAGCAGGAGATAATCTCCGACCTACCCCCTAATCTGACAGGCCAACAAAGCAGTCCTCCTCTCTTCACCGCTATTAATCCCCAATCAAGCTTTTTCTCATTATTGTGAGCCACTAAAACGGAAGCGATCTTTTTCACAATCAGCTGTAGTAGTGTAAAATCAGGGAAGCAAACCACCCAAACTATCGCGCTTCATTCAGTTCTCTAATTAAACTTGTGAAAAGTGATTATTTTCAGCCCTAAAACTCTGCTGAAAATTGTGCCTCATATTAAATTTTGATTGAGCAAACAGGAAATTTTTTTAGCCACCTTTTTTTCTAGGTGCTCGATTGAGATCAAATTTACCTTTAGTTGTTTTTGAATAAACACGGAGCTTTGCTTTTAAAACTTTATTGGCTGAGGGAATCAAACTTCTGATATATTTGCCCAAGTTTAACACTAAAAAATCCCAGATTATTATTTTCCCACAAACAAGAAAGCAATGTAATTGCAAAAGTTTTGATGAGTATCTGGCGGACTAAGATGATTTTCATTTACAAAGTGCTTCTTATCTCAAAACAGTTATCAGGCTTTTCATAGACCAAGCATAGTGAAAAACTAATTTAATCCGTCTGTAATTTGTTTGTTTCTGTCGTATTTCACATTAAACGTATCATTTGGCTAAATCAGCGAGCTGTTTTCTAATTCTTCGAGCATTTTAACGTTATTTATACGATTCACAATCCTTGGTCACTGACGATCGCTGATCAGAATATCCGAGATGAGGCTTTCAAGCGGTCCTGTTACTAGTGATCGTACAGTAGCGATAACCATATTTCTGGTTGGGCTGGTTTATTTGTGCACGCCCGTGGAATCATCAGAAAAGAGCAGCAACTTAGCCCGACTGGAAAAGAGGGCGGAGGTGCAGGGCAATGCGAACAGACTGATCGACTATTTGTTCAACAACTACACCACACTCATCCGCCCCAGAATCAACCAGAGCGACAATGTCAGAGTGCAGTTCGACATCGCCATGAAGCAGGTCATCGACGTCGACGTTAAAGTAAGTCGTATTGTTTTCAAACTGCTACCGATTATGTGTTACTCCATGTAATTATTTATGTTAGTTCATTGTTACTATCACTCACCTGAAAAGAGCCTGCTACGGCCATGAGTCTTTGAAAGTAGTTAAGACTCTTTCATAGGTATTGGCGATTTTTTGTTCGTTTTTTTTTCCAGGAAAATCTTGAAATTTGTTCTCGCTCAAATTTGATTTTTCGCGGCTTTTTTGTAAGTGCAGTTCATTTCTTTTGTTAAAAGGAAAACAAACTCTATTACAGCTGTGCATTATCGCATTGAATCTCAGAAAGTTGTGATTCGCTTCGCAAAATCACAACGTACAGGTTTTCCCGGTGTCGAGAAAAAATTGCCAACAATTGAAGCTTCTCAGATTTTTTCATTAAGTGACATTTCATTTAGTGAAGATTAAAATTTTTTATGATTTTTTCCAGTAATTCTTAAAATTTGATTCCCCGTTTAGTTCAATAAACAAAATTTCAATTGGCGCAAAAAAGACCCCTGAGGGATGGAAGGATCTTGGCCTAGACTGTGTTTTTTTCACATATCTCGCCGTGCGTAATCTTCATCTAAATAAAGTTTTCGCACAATTAAGCAAAGATAGCGCCATGCTGAAGCTTTTACTTCAGTTTTGGCTGTTTCTTAACTATTGATAAACATTTATGATCAGGTGGTACTGAGTAAGTTATTGCAGATGATTGTTGGACCTGCGAAAATTACTGTCGGACCAGCGATAAGCAAGGGTATTTAAAAAATTGCCAATCATTTTTTCCCCGAAATTCAAAGAGTTTTAAGGGTATCTAGTTTTTTTCCTTGAAATTCGTAAGTTGAGATTTGTAAGACTCTTATTTAGGTCTTGGTGATTTATTTACCTATTGATCCAGTTTTCTCAAGTTGGGTTAATGTTATCAAAAAGCGCCAATCATAAATCGTTTTAGAAATTCAAAGAGCTTAAAGTGCATCTATTTCCTTGAAATTCGAAAGTTCTGAAAGATTTTTTTTTCGTTAACTTGTAATTTTTTTCCGTGTCCCTTCATTACTCGTTTCCAACAGTCAATCGGCTATGTTTAAAATACAACTCCATGTTTTTTTATGTTTCCATGCGTGCATTACTTTCGCAGCTAGTGTATTAGTATGAACAAATGAAAATGTTCATTGAAATTGGAAAGTGTTCACTTATTTGGTGGCACTTCTGCTATAATCACGCTCTAGCATTGGAAATTTCATAGCGTTTGTTCTCTGCTTTTAGAGCTGATTTTGTCGTGTCCCCGCAGTGTTTGCGAAGCGAAGCGTTGACTCTGTGTAAAATCTAATAAACGAATTCTTTTATTTAGATCCCTTGTTTTTAGTCGCTCCTTTTTTCTGTTTTTGATTTCTGATGGCTATTTCAAAATTATTTATTAGTTGAAAAGCAAATTGAGCTGTCCAAAAAAATCACGGCGGATTTAGTTTTTGACTCATTTTTTTCAATTTGGGTCAGTTTTGTAAAAAAAAATGGCAATCATAAGATATTATTGAAATTCAAAGTTTAAGCATGAAGCTCGCAGCTTTAATCATCAGTTTTTTTTGGCTCTCTTCACTTTTTATAGATGGCTTCATCTTTTTTTGAATTCATCAACTCTTTTACAGTTGTTTGCTGAGGAAATATCTGAAGAGCATATGAATTAGGCTCCTCATCTGTAGTCAAATAGAATGTCTTATAGACAGGGTTATAAATCTAGCCTAAATCTGATTATTTGGAGGTTTTGTTTTGGTTCAGTTTCGATGTCTAAAATTTGTGGCCTGTTAAAAGTTTCACTACAAACGAAGGGTAAACAACTTTTTTGATGAAAAGTTTGTAAGTTGGAAGCTCGAGGTCAATGATAATTGCGCAGTAAGTGTAATAATTTGCAATATCCAGATGTTTGCGTATCGTTTTTAATCAATTGGCTTATATCTTTTGGCCTAGTACTGACTACCTTAGATTTAAGTTAAATTTTTTAAACACATGTTTGAAAATGGATATAACACGGGATATGAATTATAATTTACGACTTTTTTCTGGTTTTGACATATTGTCCTTTAAGTGTCAGTCAGGGTTTTTGCAAGTGTATTAGTGCGAACCTTTTTTTCCAACCTAAGTCGCAAATTCTGGTGCTACTTTTGGTGCACTTTTACAGATTTTCCATAGAATGTGCTTTGACATTCGAATAGTAATAAGTTAACATAGTTGATGCATTTTTGATTCACCAAACGAACCGAAAAAAAAACGATTTGTTTCAAACAATTTATCTCGCAATTTTTTGAAATGCATAATTTATACACAATGTGGCTTTATGCATTGCGATTTGTTACATTTAAAGTTAGTATAGATGCCTTCAGTTTGTTATATTCTAAATTAATACTTGCAAAATTGAGTCTATTTGTGTTTGGTGCCACTTTTGCTGACTCGCATTGCAATTTAATACTATAGGTAGCGGTTTTCTTCGTGACCAGTGTTTGTCGGTTGTTACGTTTGAGTGGCTAGTGCGTGAGACTCTAAATACCTTGATTGCAGTTGGTCGCAGATTCGAATACTACACGTATCCGAGTTTTTGCTAATTCGAGGCTGATTTCTATTTCTTATTTCACTTGATAAAGATGCTTTTTGTTCTCGCAAGAGTTTGCGAAGCGCAGCTTCGCCTCTGTGTCTAATGAAAAATTGCAAAACTCCTGACAGGCACTGTTGGTTGTTTTTTGACACTGTTTCTGAAATTGTATTCGTTTGTTTTTCGATTTTGTTTTCTGTCTCATTTTCTATTCACTAGCTTGAAATGCTGGGTTTGCGTTGTATAGCAAGTGACGTGAAGCTCCATATCGCCTCTCAGTCAGAAATTTTGAAATAAATCTCGAAATGGTGATATGTGCCTGTTGTTCCGACTTTCGTTACGAAAGTAACGGAATATTTGTGCTCGGGGTGGGTTTTTTTCTTCAGACAAATGTCGACTTTTTAACTTGCCATTTTTGACGGAATTTTTAACATCATTCGAAAGCTATTGTTGTCCTAAGCTTCAATCTGAAAAGATATTTCACCTGTGATCTTTTTTCGTTAAGTTATGGGGGTTTGAAGATTGCCATTTAGGACAAATAACGCGCGATATGTTTCGCGCTATTAACGCGTAAGCGAGTCTTAATCCGCCTTAGAAAGCGTTCCAAATTAGTTCAAGGAAACTTATATGCCATAATTGATTTGTTAATAAGAGCAAAATTTATCACTTTTTACTCAATATGGCATGTGGGGGGATGTTTTTCATAAGAAGTTTCAAATTATAGAAAAAACTTAATCTATTATATATTTAAATGCGGGCTTCACTATCTCGCCATGTTTAAGCTTTTTCAACGTATTATTTTTGCATGTTTAAGCTATATCGTATATTGCAATGGTTAAGATTTTTTTCGATTTTCTTATTTGATGTTAGTGGTTTTTTTTACCGGGTTTAAATTAAGCAGCCCAAAATCGAATTTTGAATGCCCGAATCATTTTAGTTAACGAGATAAGATGATTTTTGAGATGTTTTCAAAAATTTTCAGAAATTTCAAATAACAAAATATTTTACAAGACTTGAAGTTCCCAACCCTGTAGTTGGGTGCTGTCACAGTACTCTAAGGAGTTACAAATCTTGCCTCCAAATATGACTGTTCAAATTCTTGCAGTTTTCGAGATATGACGTTTTTTGTGATTTTTTCAAAAATTTTCAGGAAACTTAAATTATTATTAGTTTTTAAAAATCTGAAATTCCCAACCCTGTAGTCAGGTCCTGTCAGAATAGTCACAAAGATTGCGAATATTGCCTCCAAGTATGACTGCTCAATTCTTTGTAGCTTTCGAGATCTGACGTTTTTTGTGATTTTTCAAAAATTTTCAGAAAACTTAAGAAAGTTTAAAATAATTATTTTTCAAAATTTGAAATTTCAAACTCCATAGTTCGGTGTTGTCAGGGTACTATAAAGAGTTGCAAATCTTACCACATGCGACTGCTACACGCGACTGCTCAAATGCTTTTAGTTTCCGGGATGTGACGTTTTTTGATTTTTTCAAAATATCTCGAAGAACTTATCTACAAGGAAATTCAAAAAATTTGAAACTATAAACTTGATGAAGATACAACTTTATTGTCAGCGTACACCCAGGCGTCTCAAATCTTGCCTCTTAATATGAATGCTCAAATCCGTTTACTTTCCGAGAAAAGACGTTTTCTTTAAAAAAAATTTTCGGGAAACTTAGGTTTAAAAAAATTCACAAAATTTTGGATTCCTAACCCTATAGTAGGGTGCTCTCAGGGACTCTCAGTGGTTGCAAGACTGGCCTCCGAATTTCTCCTGAGGCCCACTAAGTTTTCGAGATGACGCTTTTAAAATGGGAATTAAAAAAATTTGAAAGATCGAAATTACCAACCCTGTAATTGGGTGCAGTCAGAGTACACTAAAAGTTTGCAGATGTTGTTTCCAATATATGCGGTTTTTCATGAGCTGTAGAAATTTTTCGAAGCACCGAAGGTGCGTTAAACGCTAGTTTTATTTAAATACATTTAAGTTTTCCATATTATTACTGCTCCATAGACCTTAAAAGGCAGTCAGAACATTCAGGACTTCGCCCTGATACGAGCAGTCCTGTACTGAAATTAGCTATCGTTACCAAATCGGAATGTAGACGGGGGCGTTCAACAGTGCCGAAGTACAACAGTGCCGAAAATGGCGGGAAAATTTCAGAATAATTTACACGCATTTTCTAGAGAGCGGGAAATTACTGACGCTAATTATCAAAGAAAATCACTCCAATTTTGGCGCCAATAAGTCTGCAACTGCTAATTAAACAATTATTTTGGCGCCAAAACGTCTAAATTGCAAATTTTCTCGCTCAAAAGCTTAAAGTTTTACTCAAGATTGTAAACGATCGCTGTTTAATTTTTGGTTGCCGCACTTAATATGTTGAAATTTGTTCAAATATTCGGCACTGTTGAACAAAGTTTTCATTTTCGGCACTGTTGAACAAAGTTTTCATTTTCGGCACTGTTGAACAAAGTTTTCATTTTCGGCACTGTTGAACAAAGTTTTCATTTTCGGCACTGTTGTACTTCGGCACTGTTGTACTTCGGCACTGTTGTACTGCTCCATGTAGACTTGAGTTTAACAACTAGTCATTCGATAGCTTGATTAATAATAACTTCAAATTTATTAGCTTCTCCGACACACTTGTCTTAGAAGTAACGACTGCACTTGGAACATAAAGGGCCTATGTTTTGTCGGCTGGGTTTTCTTTTCGCCGACTTTTCTTGTTCTGTAAGCAATGTTCATAAATATGATTTCGGTTCATTTCGTGATCTGTAAATCAACTAAATCTGTATCTGATTTGTATAATTTCTTTTTTTTTGTTATTTTCCGTTGAAAGTGGTTATGGCTAATCTTTCATCGACGTAATGACTTAACTTTGCATATTTTGCAGTGAAAGTAGTTTTCATCTTTTTGTGAGTTTCCGGAGGGAAAGGGCGTAATAATTTACTATTTCAGAACTTAACAGCTCAATTTATACCAACATTTTTTTGGTTTTGGCTCATAGGGGGTTTGTCCAAGGCTCATTTTCCGCTCGACGAAATTTGTTTAACGCCAGTGGTTGTGTTGTTGGATATGTTTTGCTCAATTTGAACATCATTTGAGAAATTTATGTGGAAATTTTTGCAAATGTTATTTGACATTTTTCATTTTTTTTGACTTAGTGGCTTTCATTTTATTTTTCGTATGCTTGCTTGTAATGCGTTGTTTGTTTGATATGGCCTTTATTTGGAAAGTTTTTTTTAGCAACCAATACTTTGACTGAATTGGTATCAATAAAATCCCAAAAAAAATGTCAATCATGAAGTTTTGTTGAGGTTGTGTTTTGATTAAATAGTTTAAAGCTTTTGTTGATTGAGGTCATGGAGACTTTCCTAATTATCTCTTGGTTGTTTTTGTACCGACCACTGTAAGAAATTATCAGGAACTATGGCGTAGGAACATGCATACTGCGCTGCATGCAAAGCAAGCAAGCGGCTATCCTTGTGTGAGTTTTTATTGTTTGTCAAGTTAATGTATGTTTTTTGCAGACACAACAAATGACCCTGTTTCTGTGGCAACGCCAGACCTGGGTAGATGACTTTCTGGCCTGGAACCCGGCAGACTTCGGGGGCATAGATCAGCTGTTCATCAGTCCCACGAAGATATGGGTAAGTGACGTCATCTTCCAGAACAGTGTTGACGAGTTCGAACAGCTGAAGGACACGACCATCATCAAAGCACTGGTGCTGCACAGTGGCCAAGTGTACTTCTTCAGACCCACTCTGAAGTCCACAACGTGTAAGATGTCAGTCAGGTACTTCCCATACGACTCCCAGGTGTGCTCGTTTCAAGTAGGGTCCTGGATGCTGAGTGAGGACCAGGTAGACATCCAGATACTCGCCTTTGACTCGGCAGTATCTGGCTTTGTCACGCACCACGAGTGGCACCTGGCAGAACGCAGCACTTTCCGCTGCAGTCTCACTCTCCCTGTCAATGTGGGCACTCTCCAGAAGAACATGACCTTTCCCTTTCTGGAGTTCCTTTTTCTGTTCCAGAGGAAACCAGAATTCTTCGAAAAGAACCTCATCGTGCCCACCGCACTCATCTGCGCCCTCAGGTAAACACACAAAAACCTATCAATCTAATTTCCTATTTAGTCTAACGAGCTTATGAGCGTAGTGTACGGTCGGTGCATTTTTTAAAATTAAAGTTGCACATTTTAAAAGAAAAGATATGATTTATTTACGCAGATGTTGATCTAACTGAATCTTTGTCAAATTGCACTCTTTGCAGCCTGATATCTAAGAATAAATTATGCTTGAAAGTAAGAGCCATTGACATAAATTTAAAAGACAATTGAATGATGCTGCGCAGTGCCAAATTGGAATACCAAGTACCGTTTTCTAAAATAAATTTTACTGAGAGCTGCAATTCGACTATGCCTGGTGCTGCGAACCCCATCTGATGGTACAGAGACTGCACTCTAATCTAAACTCGGATCTGGGGCTGATCATTTTTAAAACAATTTTCATTGGCTCTTCCTCTGCCAATTTTCATTTTTATATAGCTTCTTTTCATAATATGAGATTGTTTTGAAAGTTAGTATCCTAACTAATCGAGACATTCGTAGCATATTTGTTAACCACGCTATAAAACCTCTCGTTAAACCATAAACTTTATGTTTATGTGAGGTGCGTTCCTTTGTGCCATTTTTGCTTGTCTCTGCGAAGTGCAACTTTGCCTCTGTGTCGCTTCTTTTGTTTGATTTTTACCCGTCAGATCAAGAAAGGAAGTCTAATTGGATGCTAGGAAAATTTACTGTTAGATTTCTTTCGTAATAATTTGGCTCTTCAGCCAAGTTTTACTGTTTTATGCAGATCTGTGAACTGTTTAATTTCAAACTAAGTATTATTGTACAGCACAGGTCGATTTTAAGCTCTTTTTCTACGTTCCCTCATTTCAAATTTTGTGTTTTGTTAAGCCACAAATGTTATTAAGTGTAAATGCGTGATGATACTATCTAATGTATGAAGTGATCTCTGTTAACGGCTATAATGAGCTTTTTCACCATGTAAAGCTTCAATTGCCCGGAAATTCGTGCCCAAAATATTTCTTTTGCGTGTAACTTTGGTTAGTTACGCTCGATTTTTATTATTGAGCTTTTTTATGAATTCTCTTATAGAGTTCTTGGTAATTTTTTTTTTGAGTTTTTTGAGTCCTAAAATTTGTTTACGCTCAAATTTGATTTTTCGCGGTTTGATTTTTATTAGGCTCACTTCGTTTACTTTGTTAAAAGGGAAGCAAATCCACTATCGAACAGCAAAACGTTCTAGTTTCGAAAGTTTCGAAATATCACAACTTTACCTATCGATGCAGTTTTTTTCGCATTTATCATTTTGCTTTAAAATCGAAAGTTGAAGTTTTTCAAAAGTTTTTTGTCTGTTTCCTTGCGTTCATGACTCTTTTCCAGCTGTATGTTGGCTGTTTTTTCTTTGGACATTAAAGTTATTGAAAGTCAATTTTTGCAAAGAGTTTTTGGCTGTTTTATGCACTTTTCACATTACTTTTGTGTTTAACATAGAATTTTTGTTTCGAAATTTTTATCCTATGTTTTGATGGTTCCAAATCACCTTATAGCACCTTATTTCTTCAGCCAACTCTTTTAACCCTATAGCTAGTGAACCCCACTACAGTTTTTATCCTTTTTAATACCAATTTTTAGAATCAAAGTGAAACTTAATTGAAAAAGATCGGAACGGAACCATGGCGTCGGTAAATATTAAAGCTTTAATTGAAAATTTTTTTGCGAACATGGGATAATATGCACGCTGCTTAATGCGCTTTAGATTTAAACAGAGTTGACCTTGTCAATAGTATAAACATTGATATGAACTTGCAAACCAATAGGACTGGCAAGCATCAAATTGATAGCCGAAAAAAAATAGATTTTCCAAAATTGAACATGATCTTGAACGAATTCCTGTCTATAATAGATTAATTGGTTAAATTGAAACATAAAATGAAAGGGAAACTGGTTGTGACCAAAAAAATTAATCGAATTCAAACTGTTGTCCTAATACAATCGTTTTAATGTACAACTTAATAACTGATTTTTTTTTCGGCTAATTGGCTGCTTTTCTATTCAAAAGACTGAGTATAATGTTTCTAGTGGTAAAGCAAACTCGTGGTTTGTTTCGTACTCATTTTTAAGTACGACTTCCGCAATTTTGACATCGATGAAAAAAATATCCAGACAAATGCGCTTTAGGTTCAGCGGCCTGCTCAAAATCAGCAAATTTTTTTCAGCTCTACTATTGTCTGAACCGATAATACTTTTTTTAACTCTTATTTGGCCGGAGAGCTTATATGCAAGCAGGGGCCATTGCTGAAAGATCAACATGTATAGAGTTGAGTTGATGAATCATTTTATCTGGCCTCAATTAGTAAAAGTAAATGAAATAATTTTATGGCTGATGAAGGGACATAATTTGAAGCAAACTATCGGTATCAAACGGGGTTACTTGGTTGTGGGTATCTTCTTACTGATTAAATGGGGGTGAAAAATAAGGATTTAAATAACATGGGGTTGGAAAGTAGGACACCCTTTTTGATCAGTTTTTTTTTCATACTAATTCATTTTTCTGCGATTAGAAGAGGATCTAATAAAAGGCTATCAGGCCTGTCTAGGCCAAGTTCGTTTGAATTATTCACCTCTTTCCAGGCTGAGTTATTTTTATAAGCGAAGCTGTTTTTTTCATTTTTACGTGGTGCCATTATTGCTGCCAAAATTGGTCTGGCTGTGGTAGACATGAACCTAAAGATCAAGTTAGAGCTTGCCATCATGCACTATCCTTACCATTGCGTTCGATCGTTTATACGAGCTGATGATCTCAAACTGAACACCTCACCTCTCTATGCTATGCTAAAAAGAAGTAGATTTGCCCTCCCCAATTTTAAAAGTGCAAATGGTTAAAAATTTCTGCTGATTTATGTTTTTGAAAATCGATCTAATTTCCAGTTTTCCCAATGATAAGATTTTAAAATTACTTTGATCCAGCTTTTCCAATTTGTTTGAGCTTGGTCAAAAAGTGTGATTTCAAAAAATTTAAATGGCTTTATATTATTAGAATTTCATATAAGATTCGAAAAGTTGAAGGAAATTAATGTAAGCTCTTAATCAGCAGCGGATTTAGAAACGGCGGGCGGTACTTTTTTTGCACAATGTTTGGACAAAATTGTTTCTGTCTCATTATGTAAATAGCACGAGTCGTATATATTCTTAAAGAAAGCACATTCAATTTGGCATACTTTATCCAAAAAGCCAGGTTTATTGCGGCAGGCAGCGCGCTCAATCGCCCGGTATGTTAAATTTAATTTTTCAAGGTAGTTTCTGTTTTTTATCCTGTATTATAAGCCCCTTGTGCCCAAAATCTTGGTTCAAATGGCAATTAGCGACGTGAAGCCACTAATTAAGATCGTGTTTTTTTTCTCAGAGCAGCCGTGGGCGAGTGGGTAAGACGTGCTGCCTTTAACACAAAGGTCGGGGGTTTGAATCCGCTTACGTTGCGGTAGGAGGGTTCCCAGTATATATATAAACTGCAACGTTTGTTCTCTTGTTAAAGTGTTCAGATGACGCATAAAACTTTAATGATTTCAATTCATAAAAGAATTTTGTTTTTCAAAAACTTGTTTAGTGATTTAGTTTTCTTCAGTTTAAAAAGCATAATTACTTGAAACTCGAATCATTGGAGTTATACTTCGTTTTCATCAAAGCTGGCTATCAAAATTGTTTTAACAGCGCAAATGACGCGGAGTTCCGGTACGCATATGTGTTGAACAGTTTAACACAGATTGCAACCTAAGTTTTGGTCGCACCTCAAACCATCAAACTGCAACTTCATGCTCGAAGCGATTTGCTCTTTTAATCTAGTCTGGGTATAACCGGTCATGCTTACTGAAATGACTTAGAAAAAAAAACCATCAAAGGGAGATTTCACACTCTGATGATGTATAAATACGTGAATTGAATTTTTATTCGCTTAGCGACACTTAATGTTTCTGTTGCTCTCGTTTTTCGGTTATATGTTTGGTAAGTCTCCATTCTTAATTTTTCAATAAAAACGGGACTAAGTGCTGCTTATTGAAGCTTAGAAATAAAGCTTTAGTAATTGAAGCACAGATGTGTGCAACTGAGCAAGGAAACCGGCGGTGCTTTTGAATGAACGATGAACAGTAAATCATGTTTTCCCCTTTAAGTTTGACTGTGACTTAGAAATAATTTCCCCGTTCACTATATTAAATGGGATGGTCTTTGGGATTAGTTGTATTCATTGTAAACATTTTGTCATATATTGGCTCCAATCCCAGTTTTTTCAAGCATGCAATCCCAGTGTTTTCACGCTCCGACTGAAGTGTGAAAGTCTTTGAACTGGTAAAAGTCTTGGTAGAAAAGAGGTTTCATTGAAGATTGAAACCTCTTTAGGTAGTTCTGGTAGATTCGATTTTGGTAGTTTTTCGCATGTGCAAAAAGCCTGACTCGAAAACCTTGAACTTAAAACAATTTTTTTTGAAAAAAAATTTGACCAAATAATTGCGTTTTTTTGGCGCGCGCTCCCTTCTCAAACTTAGTATTATCGTAGGAGCGCGCGCCGAAAAAACGCAATTTTTTAAAAGTGCTCAAAACGTTTTTTGGGGTCCATTTAAAAGTGCTCTTTGGAGAAATTTGGCTACCAGAATTGATTTTCTGCGGAGAAAACTTTATCCCTCCAGAAGCACCCAGGATATACTAACTTTGAGGGGGAGTGCGTCAAAACTCTCAAAAAAACTGCCAAGAACTGGCGTTACCGAAACGGCTACCGCTTCAGATTAGAAATCGTATCTGAATTCGATAGTTATTTTTAGTGATATGGGCAAAATGGGTAAAGTAGCTAGGCCAATTGGTTTTTCAGTTTTAACTACTGGATCCTCGGGAGTTCAATCTTGTTTGTTTTGATATTTAAACCTCTGCTGAATGGCGAAGATTAGACTAATTTTGCTGAATGTATGCCTCTTCTTTTTCTGAGCAGCATTTTTGTCTCTCCTGAATAAACAAGTGAGGCTATTGTACTCGCGGGGGTG